AATGCGCATCATATCAACAAAGATGTCATCTTACTACATTTTGTAAATCCCTTGTAAGAGTGTGCTCAGTAAACACTTCAGCATCAGTACAAATGAACTCTTAGAAAGGCTGATAAATAATGTGGTTACATGCAATATAACCAACATGACCTCTATGAGTAGATTCAATTGGATGCATACCTACATAGATCCATGGCTACCCAAGTAGCCAGAATGTTATTGCAAAGAGCTAGCCCCGACTAAAATGAGGATACAGTAACTGATCTTGTATTTCCAGATCTGATTATTCATCCCATTTATTTAGTACTAAAAAGTTTTTTGGTTCTTAACAACATGCTAAAACTTGTAGGGATATATTTTTTAACTTAGATATTTCCTTATTTCACCTTATGTTTGTGACAACTTCGTGGTGTGGTAAAGCCATAATAATAGTATTTACAATATTGAGATCGAAGCGATTCAGCATGTACAGAGTACACGCATTATTTAACTGTTGTCGATATTTCTACATTTCCTTACAGTGGGTAGCAGGGGGTAGCAGACTCTGCAGGCGCTGAGGGAAGACTCCTTTTAAAGGTCTGTGCGCAGTCACAGTAGTGGGACCGGGAGATTTCAGAGGAGAAAATCTTGTTAGAAAGGTACGGTGATTTGAAGAGGCCGCTAATAATCGGCGTTTTAAACAATTCTCTATACCTAAATTGTGTTGTTACTTTAAGTATTTACTTTATAGATTCTAGTTTCGGAAATGTAAACTTCGATTTTCAGCAGAGTTATTGCTTTTTATCATTTTGTAATATCTACATACAGTCACGCAATGCCACTCAGATAATGTTTGAAATATCGAGAAAGAATGTGGCTTTTCCTTTTTTGTGGGAAGGCAAGTCGACGAATTTTGATTCTGTAAAAGAGGTAGACGCCATTTCAGTGTATGCTCAATTTATTTTATAAAAACATAGAATCCGTGACTTTGCGTTTTTTATCATTCATTTAGCCCTTCTTTCGGCAGACACTGCATCAAGCTTTCTTGATTAAGAAATGTATATGAAATACATGTAAAACAACACGTCTAAACGGCCTTGTCATAAGAGCAAACTGTGTAAAAATAGAATATACGTAGTTTTATTGCTTTTTATTATCACTTTACATGCGGACACACAGTGTCCTTCTGATGACAGGTATGTAACCGAGTTTACTGGGAGAAATGTGAACAAAAGACGGTTAAAGACTAGAAAGGCCAACATTTCCTTCGGAGCAAATGTAGGAATTTCACTCCATACCCTTCCCTAAACAAAAATGAAAGATTCTAAATAAGCCATACTGCAATTATCTAATTGAGATCAAGGATACAAGGACAAGCAAACTTTTAATCTCGACAGCTTTATTCACAAAATTAGCACTTGACAATTGTCCCCCATTTATTTTACAAAGATCAATACACACAGCTTTACTTTACACTTATATATTGCAGGCATCTAAATACAACTACTAATGACAAGATTGTAACTACTCTGAAGCTCTAATTGCACAGAATTGGATACTAAACCGACATGATCTATATATACTTTGAAACCATACATTCAAACATATTGAATGAATAAACTACACACGACTTACAAATACTAGGAACCTGTACTTAGGCCACACCATTTTAATGTGTTGGTTCTCGGATTCGCCTCTTCATTATTTTGATTTGCAAAAAAAAAAAAGATTCTGGTTCTGAATCAACTAAAAATGCTCAATGCCCCCAACAGTTGAGGAAAGTTCTTTTTTTCCTAGTTGTTACAGCTTTTCCATCTATATGAATTCAGTGGTTTGATGAAAAGTTAAAAATTCATTGTTTGAATTTTAACCCAGCCTTCTGTGTTGAGTTAATGGCTCCTATCCTAGCATATGGGGCTATAATAGGGTGCCTAGATCTGTTTTTATTCTTTTTTATTTTGTTTCGCCGTCTCTTCATATTTTTTTCTAAGAAAATCTGAGAACCAACAAATTAAATTGGTGTGGCCTTATATATTGATTAAGCTATACTAGGCCAGTTTGATCTGATTTGATCATATGGATGTCAGCCTCTGCTGCAAGCCCTGTCTCTCTTCCTCTATCGACAAAGTTGGTAAAATTTACGACATAATCAATTTACGGAGTACGTTTGCTCAGTTTGCAGATGTTTTGTATGATTGTCGTAAACTTCTTTTGGGAATGAACGAAAACCGATGCACTAACAGATGTTATCCATATAATCAAATCAACATGGCCATATTCACACTCACATAAACTATGAAACCATACATTGAACAAGAGTTCCGAGATCTCATACCTCCATGAAATATGGGCTTGACATGGTAATGTTAATTTCTTCTTTAGTTATGCAAATTACCTCCACATTAACATAATAAATGCATCGTGATGTTAACTTTTGATTAACTTACACATGTACCAAGTATGAAATTCCCATCATTTACCACTAAGGAGTCATAGAATTTTCGCATTAATTATGCAAATTAGGTCATCATTTGCATAATTGGTATCTGGTGATGTTCCATCTGCCATAGATTACATACTAGTACGTTACATGTATGAAAGTACTATAATGCAAAACACTGTAATTATAGAATTTCCTCATTAATTATGCAAATTAAGTCCTCATTTGCATAATTTGCAGTTAATTATGTACATCTCTCTCTCAGCTACCTACCTACCAAAAATGATGAAAATACATCGTTTCTATCTGGACTTATTGGCTTTTAAAGTTTCCGCCGAAAGTCCCCTGCAGTTCCAGAACAAGCTGCTAGGGGGACCAAACCCACACCACTCACTAGACAGGACAATCTATCTGCCACCAAAAAATCAAGACCATAGCATATTCAGGACAAAAGATACAAAAACCGGAAGTTCTGCTGCAGTACCAAGGTCATCCACCAGGAGGCGTATATTTGACCTTGACCTTCGTCTTCCTAAGACCTACCAGCATACCAAATATCATCACAATCCATAAAGGCGTTATGAAGTTATGCTGGCCGCAAATGTGCGGAGACACAAACACACAGACAGACAGACAGACGCAACATAAACAATACATCCATTTTCATGGAGGTAATAACACAGGTTGTTTGTTTTCAAACACACAGCCATACAGTGGCACTGCCACATTTGCCCTGAAATAGGTCACCTATTCCCCTGAGGGAGCGCGCTGCCTCGCTGGGCATAGCCACATCTGTTACCCTGCCTCGCAAGTAAGGAGATTCCTCTCAGCCATGCCCTGACTCAACCTTAAACCGGAAGTGCTGCTGCAGTACCAAGGCCATCCACCAGGAGGCCCATATTTGACCTTGACCTTCGCCCTCCTAAGACCTACCAGCATACCAAATATCACCACAATCCATGAAGGCGTTATGGACTTATGAAGGTACAAAAATGCGGAAACACAAACACACATACACACACACACACACACACACGCACACAGACGCGCCAAAAACAATACCTTCCATTTCATGGAGGTAATAAGCTATACTTTACTATGATTATCATAATGGTTACCTTTATTTCTAAAATCACACTAGTGAGCTAATAGAGTCAAAGAAAGCAAAGTAAAGCAATAGAATTTCTGTACAAGCTATAATAGTCCTTCATATGATTCGTTCAAACTAGGTTGTTTGCAAGCTACACGACCCCTAAAAGCCTCTCGTTTATGAAGGCAAACAATTGGGGGACGTACACCAGAGAGTGTGCAAAACAACCAAACTTCTCTGGGATTTCTGACTTATTTCTGACTCTTGAAAAGATAACATTGCAAATCTTACATTTTCACACACTGTGTTTCTAGAATTGTTGCAGTCGGATGATGTACATGTATATCCATCTGTGGATGGCTGGGTCCTACAC